CCCCAATATCTTCAATAGGCAGGTCAAGTGGACAAAGGCTAAACAGACAGACATCTGAATTAAATGATACCAGGCATCAAATGGACCAACAGACATATGCTGAATTTTCCACTCAAACACCAAAGAATACACTTTATTCTTGGCAGCCCATGGAAGTTTCTCTAAAATTGACCACATACTAGGGCACAAAACATATCTCAAAAATACAAAGCAATTGAAATAATTCCAGGCATATATCAGACCACAACACAATAAAGCTTGTAATCAACATCAAAAGAAGCTCTAATAGGTACATGAACTCATGGAGATTAAACAGCACACTCCTGAGTGATTAATGTGTCAAAGAAGGGTTAAAATAAAAGTGTTCCTGGAACCTGATGAAAATGATCATACAGCACAACAAAGTCTCTGGGACACTTTAGAAGCCATCCTAAGAGGGAAGACTATAACTCCAAGTGCCTAAGGCCAGTTAACCAACAGAAAGAAAGAGCAAATCCAAATAAAATCAAAGATGAAAGGGGAAAAAAAATCACAGTAGACACCAGAAAGATCCAGAACATCGTAAGGGAATGCTTCCAAAATCCATATGCTACTAATTTGAAAACCTGAAAGAAATGGATGAATTTCTAAACTCATGGTTTAGAAATGATGATACCAAGAAGAGGGCAGCGACCTCAGCATATCCATGACATGTAAGGAAACTGAGCAGAAGTACAACACCTCCCCATTAAAAAAGATCCCAGGCCCAGATGGACTCACAGCAGATTTCTACCAGACATTTAAAGAATATCTAAAACCAATACTACTTACATTATTCAAGAAGACAGAAACAGGAGCAACTCTCTTTAAAAAAAAAATCCAACTTAGAATAGAAGAAGAAAGATGCTGGGCAAGTTGTCAGGTCTCTGAAGGACATTCCCGCACTGGAGAACATTTGGGGAACACAAATTACACTGCACAGGCCTTTCAAAAACTGTAATAACAGAGGACATGATGTCGGGCTTGGTGGTTGTAGTGTGGGGTAGACATAGGGACAGGCACCTAAATATAATCAAAAGACACTGTTTTCAACTCTAAAAGAATTAATAAAAGCATTAAAAAGTAAATCAGAGTGCTGGAGAGATGGCTCAGTGGATAGGAGCACTGGTTGCTCTTGCAGTCAGTAAATTCATACACATGAAAAGATAGTAAATAATAAATAAATAATAAAATATTTTAAAATCGAAATAGCAGTACAAAATATGCATAATTACAAATATCATCTTACTTGGGAGACTGCTGGGTAAAGAGGTCAACTGTGTAGACTGTTAGCCCTCTGTTCATGATCATCAATGCTGAACCTTGTTGGAAGAATATTCTACAGCAATCCAACCCACCTTTTCATATCTGCACAGGGAGGTCACAGAAGCCCTGAAGAGAACACCTACTTAGTTGGGGATAATCGAGATCCCGCTGTGCCATACCATAAGTTACTTTATATTGTGTGAACTCTTTCTCCAAACTCGATTTTACAAGCAGGTTCTAGTCTGTGGGAAATGTCAAAGAAATGCACTAAATGTTCTATCAAACGGTTAAATAAGAAAGCAAAAACAAAAACAACCAAAACACCCCCCCCAAAAAAACCCAGACAAATAAGCCACTTCCCAGAAATTCAAACTCTACAGTCCTCCCTTCTTGAAATCAAATATGTTTCAGACTGCAGTCCCTGCTGAAAATTGCATTCTGCTTCTCAGCTCCCTCACTTTGTGTCAGCGAATTACATAAGAATGAGAGGCTGAGCTCTGACCACAGAGAGGGAGACAGAGGGGCCTTCCTGTTAGGAATAAACCCAGCAGGACCTTCTCTGTCTGTGCTTGCTTGCAGGCTTTGAGCAGCATAGATGCATCACTCTGCAGAAGCAAGAGTTTTACCTTGCCCAAATACTTTGGATTGTGTGGTCAGTTCCTTGAAACATCAAATGTGTATCTAACATATCTATTTTGAGAATGGACGATGACTCCGCACTCAGGTTGACAAGAGAACAGCACTTTTAAACAGGTAAACACTGTTCATGAAACACAGTCTGGTAAACGACTTACTCAAGGGAGTGAGTAAACCAGGTAAATGAACTGGAATGAACTGGGACAATGGAGACACAGGAATGTATTAGGTTCATATGAGGGAAACCAAGCCCAGGAATGTCTCCTTCACACCAGTCAAAGGGAAGGGTGTAAAGCACTCCCCTGGACCACGTGAACAGGACATCTAACATTGAGAGGAGATGGCCTCTCTTCCTTTAAGTATGGTTCATACTCCATGCTGAAACCTCCTGGTTCTCTTGCTTCAGAACAAAGAACAAGAGGAGGGACAGGTGGACAGTCCCAGGAACAGTTTATTTCAGCCTAGAAAGACAGCCCTGAGAAGAAGTGGGCTAGCAGCCTGGACAGGTCTGAAGTGCAAAAGCCTCACACCACATGACTTCTGATCCTTTACAGGTCGTTTACACAGCTGCAACCTGGAGACCTCACAGGATTTTCTCAGCAGTGCTTGTTTTGTACAAGCCCAGGAAAGAAGCTGGGGGTTCCATTCTTCCTCTGACCACTCATATATTAATCTTTCTCCACCTCTATTGTCCTGCACACAGGCCTGGTGTGAGTATCACTGGATCCCCAGAGAGAGAAGTCCTCCTTGTCTCCCAGGAGCTTAGCTTGGCCCAGTCTCCTCTGCTGACTCAGCCTATGTTGTCCGTCTGCCCTGCAGTACTTGCCTTCCACTAGTCCATCAGTTCATCCATCTGGACCTGGTCCCCCCTTCTCTTCTTCAGCCTCCATGAGGAGCGAGGATAAACTGTAAAGCCACATGCTGTGTCCTTCAGCATCGTTCATTGTGACTTTACAATCATTACTGATAAATCTCTATAAAGACCGCACTGACTCTACAGAGGCTGCCTTCATGGTGAATTTTGCTACTGTAATATTCTTACCTCTCAGCTGGTGCAAGACTTCCACAGCCTTGGGGGTTGGGACTCCTTTCTGTTCAGTGCCGTCAGTTCTGCCTGTCCTTCTGTCTTGCCTCATTAGTACTTCACACTTCATGTTAGTCCTTCACACTTCATGTCCTGTGCACCAAGGGTTGGGTTTTCCTCATCAGTACGTGTTATTCTTTCTCTGAAACTCTCTTCTGGAATTTTCTTCATTTCTTTCTTCAGAGTCTGAATGCTATCAGTGTGGACTTCTTTCATTTCCCTTGTTAGGTTTATACTTAGGTGTTTTATTTTTGGTGTGGCCATGGTGAATGGGATTGTTGCCCTGATTTTTTTTTTTTTTTTCTGTATACTTGTCAGTGGTGCATGGAAAGTCTATGCATTTCAGTGTTCCTCAATTTCTTGAGGTCTGTTCTGCTCCAAGTCTCGGGGTCTATTTTGGAGAAAGTTTCATGGGATGCTGAAAAGAATTTGTATGCTCCTGCGTTTGAGTGTAATGTCCTATAGATGTCTGTTTGATTTACAGATCCATTTAATTCCAATATTTCTAGATTCATCTTTTGTCTAGATGACGTGTGTCTTGGTGATAGTGGAGTACTGAAATCTCTATTAATGTGTTGGGGCTAATCTGTGGTTTTTCATCTAGTAGTAGTTCCGTTAATAAACGAGAGAATCTGTCTTTGGTGTGTACATGTTTAGAAGTGCAGTATCCTCTTGATCAATTTTTCCCTTAATGAGAATTAAGGGAAGTGAAAAATTCTGCTGAATTCTGTTTCAAATCTATCTTGTGTGTTATTTGAGTAGGTTTGCCTGCTGGTTTCCTCGTTCCATGATGGAGTCCTTTTTCCATCCCTTTATCCCGAGGTGGTGTCTCCCTTTTCTGGCAACACGTGTTTCTTTGAAGCAGCAGGAAGATGGATCCTCTTCCGTAATCCAATCTGCTCCTCTGTGCCCTTTGACTGCAAGGATTTGTGACCATTAATATTCAGTTATTATAGATAAAGTGTATTAATTCCTTTTCTTGTTGATTTTATGTTTTCTTAGGCCTTTTTGAGGAATAGTTTTAGCATTCTTTTTCACCTGTGTCATCTTCATGTGTTTACCCCTGTCTTCTGTTCCTAGTATTCCTTCCAGTATTTTCTGTGAAGGAGGCTTAGTGGTTGTATTTAGCCCCTGTCATGAAAAGACCTTCTCTTTCAGTAGTTTTGTGAAGTGTAGCAATGTTGGCAGTTGTGAAATAAGTCTTTCCAAGCCCTTCTGGCTCTAAAAGTTTCCATTAAATAACCTGTTGTTATTGTGCTGGGTCTGACTGTGGGGGACTTGGCCTTCTCTCTTGAAACTTTCAGTACCTTCGTTTAGTCTGTGTCTTTAGTGTTGTCACTATGATGTGCCAGGGAGAGTTTCTTTTCTTGTCCTCTCTGTTTGATGTTGTGTGGGTCTCTTGTACTTGGCTGGATAACTTTCTCTGTAGATTTAGGAGACATACTTGTGTGATTGAATTTAAAATGCTATCCATTCCTTTGTCCTGGAGTTCTTCTCTTTCTTCTCTGTCCATAATTTGCAGGTTTTTCCTTTTTAATGCTATTGTAAAATTCCTGCATATTCCTTTCCAGTGAGTTGGGGTTTTTTGTTGTTTTGTGTGTGTGTGTGTGTTTGAGACAGGGTCTCCCTGTAGCCCCAGGTGCCCTGGAGCTCGCTCTGTAGACCAGGCTGGCCTCGAACTTACAAAAATCCGCCTGCGTCTGCCTGCCAAGTGCTGGGATTAAAGGCGTGCGTCACCACTCCCGGCTCCTGTGAGTTTTTAAATTTTCTATGCTTTACCTAAAGGTATTTCTAACATTGATTTCTGCAATGAAACCGCATTTGAGTTAGGAAAACGGCAAGACAGCCCTCTGGTGGTGACTGATGAACACTGCAGGGCGAATTCAGGCCCTGGTTAGTCAGCAATGGGCTTCCTGTGACACTTCCTGAGACACCCATTTCCTGGTAAAACGCGAGCTGGAGTGGGCGGGGCAGACCAGAGGCTGAAACGCGCCAACTTCCGCCCGACTATCGGAACACCGGGGTCCTGAAAACTCTGCAGGGACCTAGGGAGCACTGCACTCGGGAGCAGCGCGGTGCTGAACAGGCGGCGGGCGGATCCAGACTGAGACTCAGCTGGATACGAACGTTCACCAGAGCACCGGGAACCACGAGGAGCGGTTGGTGCAGAGCGGATGCTGAGCGGGTCGGGGAGGGACCGGCAGATGGGAGGAGAGTGCGGACTGAAACGGAGCCCCGGGAAAGACTCCTGGTCATGTGATCCGTTTGGACCGGGACCCTCTGCTGTCAGAGTTGGGGGCTCGGAGCCGAGGCAGGTCTGCGAAACTCACCCGGGATTTAAACTTTGTTCTTGCTTATCTACAGCAAGGAGCGCAGGTCTCAAAGTTTGGTTGCAGATATTTGGACACTTTAGCTGTGCATCCTCCTAGATTTAGATTATTAAAGGTTGTTGCATTTAGCTAAATTTACGATCATATGAACTAAGATGAATCCTCATTTTTATCAGCAATTTTATGGTTTCCAAAATAATCTAATAAAAATAATGAAGTACTGGGTACTCATTCCTTTGTAAGTTAATAAACTCACATAAAATATATTATGTGGTTTGTTTGATCATGCAGGAGACCCTGAGAGAATTCGAGCCACAGGCCTGTACCCAGGCGAGGAGGAGAGATGCGGCGGGGGGGGTGGGATCTCCAGTGTCCAGCAGCTACTTCAAGTCAGTGGCTCCTGCCCTTGCTGTTGTGGAAACAGCAAAGCTCTTCCAGTGTAAATTCGTCCAGGCAATCTGACTTCCATTTTCCACTTTCTGTTTCTGAGGGACTGGCGTTTGGACCCTGGGACGTGCCATCCCTAGAGAGCTTGTCAGAATTAGTCACAAAAGGAATGGCTCTAGATTATATAGACTCAGAACCTATATTTTAGTGGACATCCACAGTTATAGTTGTAAGCCTTAACCCAATAAGTAAACTTTCAATTCACCGTTAATGTTCCATTTGGAATATATAACGTATGATATGAATTCAACATTAAAATGTATATTCTTATGTTGAGATGTTAATGCTATAGTCCATAACAGCACAGTACACATGCTGAATATGAGGATATCTTGCCATACTATTTCTACAGTTAGAAAACACAGTAGAGAATATGACAATGTCCAAAAGCATCTTCAGAATGCTGTGGTCCTCCCTACATTAGAAAATGCCTCTCAGTCTCTTTGGTCTCCTTGATTCAAGAAAAGCAATTGCCTGTGGACAGATTGCCAAACTGTTATTCTATTTTCAGGGTGTGTTGACATTCAGTGATGTGGCTGTGGACTTCTCACAAGAAGAGAGGGAGTGCCTAGATCCTGCTCAGAGGCCTTTGTAAAGAGACTTGATGGTGAGGAATTACAGCTCTCTCATTTTTATTGGTGAGAATATTTTTTATTACAGAATTTCTTATTTATACTCAGAGTTCCTTGATGAGCTACTGTGTGTGTGTGTTAACTTTGTGTGAGTCTCACATCTCATAAAGTGAACTTCTCAGAGGAGAAAAGAACACTGTAAGGATATTTTGTCTGTTCTTATGTTTGTCCCTTGGGAGTGGTTATTCTTTTTTCATTTTTATTCCATGATAAATTCAGAAACTTTTCTCTCTTTTTTTTTTTTTTTGGTCTCTTTGAGACAAGGTGTCCCTGTAGCCTGTAGCACCAGCTGGCCTGGAACTCATTATATAGACCAGGCTGGCCTGAAACCCACAGAGATCCTCCCGCCTCTGCCTCCTGAGTGCTGGGACTAAAGGCGTGTGCCACCAAGCCAAGCAAATTCAGAAACTTTATAGCATATAATATTGCCACCCCAATCATGATGTTCCATTTCCAACCTGGAATTTTGGCTGAGCTGTAATTAGAAATGGAACAGTAATTCTGCAAATTGAAAAAGCTCTGTAAATATTGTCAGTTTTCTGACAGAATATTCCAATTGAAAAGACATTGTTAGAATTCTGTTGTGTTCTCTCTTTATCTGTTGAGCTCACTACTGTGTTAGAAATGCAGGTCCTTTCTAAAGACTCAAATCATGAGCCACCAAACATAGGCATACAAAGTTGCTAGAGCACTTGGTGTCTTGTGCATTAAGCTGTGACCACCTGGAGTGCTGGGGGTGATGGTGGTGTCCTGAGTCACACTCAAGAGGCAGGTGGTCCTGAGAGACACACCCCTGAACATTTTGTTAACGTGGAAAAAGATTATCATCAATTATTAGAAATTACATTTTTGAGACATGGAGTCAGACATCCATCAGTTAAAATGCAAAATTACAGAATAGTTTCCCCTTTTTAATATTAATTTAAAAATGTTCCATTTTTGTGTGTTGAATGTATTACTTGCATGTATGTAAATGCACCCATGCTGTGCAATGTATACTGAGGTCAGAAGTGTGCATCAGTTCCCTGTAACCATTCATACAGGTGGTTGTTAGCTCCAATGTGATGCTGGGAATCGAGCCCGGCCCCTCTGCAAGAGTAGGCATTGCTCTTAATCTCTGAACCATCCACCCAGCCCCTTAATATTAATTTTTGACAAAGAAAGACTATATATATTTAGTGGGTGCAATATGATATTTTGTTCTATACATACATTTTGAAATTGACTATTAATTTAACACAATTACGACTTTATGAATTTTAATATTAAAATGTATAAACTGGAAGAAATGTCCCAACATAGTTTTTAAGACCGGAACTTCCTTATAAGCCTGTTTATAATAAAGTGACTGCTCCTTTAGTATTGCCATGGAATTTCAAGGCTGTGAGAGTCTGAATTTCAACCAAAGTCCTCCCAGTTCATCAGAACAGAAAGTTAATGTCTCAGTTAAGTACAAGATAAGCCAGAGTTTAGAAAGTTTCTATTCTATTTTCTTTGAAATTCAGATGCACAACCTAAATGTCCCTCAGAATATGAATTGATCATGTAAATTTGGTACATTTATACATGGAGTTCTACTCAGTGGTAAAGGAAAGGAAATCAAAGAATTTTCAGGTAAATGGATGGAACTAGAAATTGCTGGACTAAGTGAGGTAAAGCAGATGCCAAAAAGGAAGGCACAGGTGTTCTCTCTCCAGTGTGGCTCCTGCCACCAAATCCTGCATAGAGGAATTCAGTGCAGCACAGAGATATGTGCACTCCCTAATTATGCCAGCACTGTTTGAAGACTAGGGAATCTACTGAAATGTGCATTAAGAAATGAAAGATTTACTGAAACGTGATATTTCTAAAGAATAAACCACAATTCCGTCATAGGAAATAGTGAAATCTTCTCATACTTGAGAGCAGGATTGATTTGATGGGCACTGTACCAGGCAAAGAAAGTTGAAACACAAGCATTATATGATTTCAGTCAAGCGAGAAATACAGAAAAAAAAAAAAAAAACATGACAGATATTGAAGGTACAATAGCAGTTTGCAGTGAATGGGGAGAATGTGGGTAAATAACAGACACAGTGTCATGGCTTTGTGGCTTAACTAAGTTCTGCTGTTCTATATCATAGCAAGGTGAATAAATTCTCCAAGTTGCATTTTCTATCTTAAAATTTTTAAAAAGATCAATTTGGATACACTCACCATAGGAAAGGATAAAATTTTACATGTGGATATATTAATAACTGACTAAATCAATCTCCAGTGTATATATCTAACAAAATATCAGGGAAACCTCATAAATATGTAAAATATCATTTCATCAAAAAATAAAGATTGCTTTTTAAATATATGTTACTTATTATTTTTATTTTTTATGTATATGAGTGTTATGCCTGCATGTAAGTAAGTGCACCCATGTTGTGCAGTGTCCATGGAGGACAGAAGAGGCTGTTGGATCCCCTGGGACTGGAGTTACAGACAGTTGTTAGCTGCCATGTGGGTGCTGGGATTCGAACCTAGGTCTTCTGCAAGAACAGTCAGTTTGTAACCGCTGAGCCATCGCTCCAGCCCCCAAGATTGCATTCTTATTACTTTATTTTTTCTCATGTGTAAGAGTGCTGTGCTTGCCTATATGTAAGTACAGCCATGTGAGCACTGTCTGAGGAGGCTGGAAGACAGTGTGGGAACCCCTGGAATAAGTGTTAAGTACACTTGGCACCATGTGGGTGCTGCAAACCCATGCAGGTCCTTTGCAAGAGCGGCCAGTATTCTTGACCTCTTAGCCATTACTCCAGCCCCAAGAATAGACTTTTAAAACTAACAATGAACTACTCCTGAACTTTAGCCTTCAAAAGGAAAACTCTCCTTTGTGCCTCCCCCACAGGTTCTGTTTACGAAGCTCAGTAGAAGCATCAGTGCTGTTTCATTAACAGTCGTAGGCAGAAGACAGTGAGGCTGGGGGTCAGCTGCCAGTGCTTCTGAAGGAAAGCTTAGTGTAGCCTCTATTCCAAAGGATGAAAACCATGTTACTCTGCCTCATTTAGGTAAGGAGGTGACGTGGATACATTCTCATGAATATAGTAGGAATTCTGATCTCATTGGCAGGGAGGGCCGGCGAAGACAGGAAAGCAGAAACTTCTATGGGGTCTCCATGTTGAGTTCTTTCTTCCTGTGCATCTACTGTGACCACAGACAGTGAGAACGGCCTGTTTTGTTTTCTGAGGTGCTTCTTCCTCTTGTTATGTTGGCAGGTGAAGTGGATTTTCAGTGAACTGAAAGGAAGTTTCTTGAAAGAAAGAGAAGACTCTTTATATAAGAGACAGTTTATGTAAGATTGCCTGGAAAGGAAACTCACAGAAGCAGGAGAGAGATGGCTTCTTTACAGGTCAATACATCCAGGGGCCTTCACCCAGTACACTTCTTTCTCTAAATGTTTGATGTTTTGAATTTGTAGTAGTTTCTGATCCAGAAACTAGCTATGTAGACCAGGCTAGCCTGGATCTCACAGAAATCCTCATGCCTCTTCCTCTGGAGTTCTGGGAGTAAAGGCCTGCACCTCCATGCCTGGGCCACATTAACTCTTTTCATATGTATCTCTTATGTAGCATGTCCATGTCTCCATTTTGTCTGGCAGTGCTTATGTTTTCCACACTGATCCAATGAATTCATGACCAAAAATCTCATAAATGTTTCTGATGTGATAGGTGAAAATTCAGACATGTCAGTCTTCAGTTCCTAAGGAGGATGGACTTGGGTCCTCGTATGTCACTGTGTTGTGCTTTGAACTTTACATAAAACTGATAATATTTTTTACTTTATTTTGGTATTGTTTTACTTTGCTCAACATTTCATCCCACCGACATCACAGGCCTGATGGAATGTGCTGCTGGGTTTGTTGACACCTGTATTCTTTGTCTCCTGGTAGATGGTTCCTTTGGTTGAGCTGCTCTACACCAAATCCCAGACTTGACATTGTTTTTAATTTATTCCAAATAAGTTTTCTTCTGGTAGTTCACAGAGTGAAGCACACGAATCATGACATTTACTGCAGAATCTCTCCTTTCATCACTGTAGTTTTCTTCCTTTCTTTGGACAAAGAAACCTTTCTTGTTTGTTTGCTACATAACAGTTTTCCAGGTGGAGATTCTGAAGCAGGCCTCGTTCTCTCTGTTGGTATTTCTACTTCACACTCAGTCACAGCATGGCCTCCATGACAGTTTCTTTGAACATCAGAAAAGAGCTCCCTTCATCTAATGTTACACACGTGTAGCTGTCTGATTTTGGAGGCATTTGTGTATGCGGCATCAACATTGTTCAGTGTTGGATCTTGTCTTCATGTTTTCATTACTCTCTGCAGTGAGGAGGAGCCTAGTTCTCAAATCCTCTTATTGTGATGTGCATAAGTCAGCCAGCGTGTTCTTTCTAGGTAAATTTTACGTAGGTAAATGAGGATAAAAAAAAGAAATTGCAATAAAAGTATTGTTAGAATACTTGTGCACTGATGTTTCTGTACTTTCTACGTTACATGCAGGGTATAGGCTTTACAAGAATTGTGTCTTCTTGCTGTGGATGGAGAGCACACATAGTTCTTTTTCTTCCACCATGTTCCACTGAGTGCTGTTGGAGAAAGTGTGTTTTGTACCTGGGGCACTGGCTTCACTGCAAAGTCTGTTAAGAAAGGGATGTCACGCCCAGCCACAGACCATGTTATGGTAAAAATCCATGTTTTAGCTAGTACTACAGTGCATGGTTATAAACATTTGAATTCATGAAGCAGACTTGTAAATCAGTGTGACTACTTTACATCAGTTAAATATATATAATTGATCTTCTGTGCTACAAATATAGGACAGAAATGGTATTACTCTGTTGAGGGCATAATTTCTCTGCAATAGTCCTTGACATCATAATCTTCACAAAAATTTGGAGGCTCTGATGCTATTCTTTTATACACAGAGTTAGCAAGTGATCATGAATAGTTACTCCATTAAGAAAATATCCTTTAAAATAATTCTGATTTCTCATCTAATTCAGAAGTCATTTATTAATTATCTCTTTCTTTCTTGGGTCCAGTACCTTCTTTAAGTGCACATGGCCTAATTTTCGTTCTTCATTTTAGGATCCACTGACATTCAAGGATGTGTCCATAGACTTCTCCCAGGAGGAATGGGAATGCCTGGACTCTGCTCAGAGGGCTTTGTACAGGGAGTTAATGTTGGAGAACTACAGCAATCTGGTGTCTATAGGTGAGGAGATTTTTCTATCAGAACAGTTTACTATTTACCATCCTTTGGTAGATAAGAGTCCACTTTCTACATATGTTAGTTTTGCTGTAAGTCTTTGACTCCTTAAAAATGAGTGCATTGGGACTTTCTGGGCATCATGAAGAACATGTTTATATTCTATCATTTCTTTCCATTTCCACTTCTTAGAGGAATTATTATTATAGAGGAATTATTATTATTCATTATTTTTGGTGTTAATATCAGCCACCCTTTCGTACATGATACTGTAGCCAGAATCTTAAGGTTCCATTTCAATAACTACATTTTGAATCAGTGATTGAACTCAGCATATGAAAACTGAAAAAATTCTTGTGTATTATAAGTCTGTCCTAAAATAAAAATTGAGAAATTATTTGGAGAGTCATCTAGTTTTCTCTGTATTATCAGTGGAGCACAGTGCTGTTAGAAATCCTGTACTTTCTAAAGAATCCAGCAAGCCTATGTGCCTCTTTCTCATACGCAGGTCTTGCTGTGTGTAAGCCTGTTCTGGTCTCCTGTCTGGAGCAAAGCAAAGAGCCCTGCAATGTGAAGAGAGGGGATACTGTAGCCAAGCAGGTAGGACTGAGTTCATGAAGGAGGGCCCAGGTGAGAGGTCCTAAGTAAAGAGGTTTTGAAAATGGTTTTGTTATAGTCTGTTTCATGTTAATGAAATTCTGATGATTTAATTTATAGCACTTTCATCAAACTTTGTCATGTGGTCAATGTCAGATGACTTATTTCACATGAATTATGTGGCAATTACTTGTATGCAAACATCACTCAATTTAATTATTTAATTTTTCCTTACCTGTCATGTCACATCTCTTGCTAGTGCAAGCTAATAGCTGATTTGTTTTCCTATGAGTTCTTCCTCTACTACATTTTTCAATGTGTATTTTTTTATTGAATTTTTGGGTATTTCATAAAATATCTTCATCATGTCTATACCTTCCATCTGTTCTGCTCCCCACCCCATATACTCCCCACCAGATACGTTCTGTGAGGTATAGTAAGGCCTATAGAGTCAAGTTTTAACATATCGTGAAATGAGGAAATTTTGTGTCTTTCCTTTTGTTCCTCCTTTGATAATGGTTGTGCCCTTCGGAGTCCTTGTGATTTTTCATTGTTTTACAATTACTGATGTATTTCTCCCAATAATGACTGTAATTCCTTGATGAGAATCATGTAGAATGTTTATACAGCAGGAAATTCTATATTGTTTTCCCATTTTAAATAAGAATGCGTTAAATATGTCTGGCTGTCTACATGGCATTTGGGATTCCTCTGTTTTCTACCTACTCTTGATGTCTTTTTTGCAGTTTGGTCTGAAAAGAGGTTGTGAAACAGTGATCTTGTATAGTGTTTAAGACTTAATCATTGTCTAGTCCAGTTCTGCAACTATTCTTTGACTTTAGAAATTTGCACGTCTGCCCATTGTGTGCGCATGAGGCGGTCCAGCCTTCTTTGGGATCCATGCTTTCTCATGCTGCTCATAGGCTCATTCATTCATAATCTTTCTGACTTCAGTATTCTTCAGTATTCTGTACAGATAGGGTACAGTTCACAGAGCCATGGTTTTGAGGCTGTGTCTTGTTCAGGCACCTTCGTTCTCTATAATTCTTGTCAGCCATGAGGTGAGATTTCTGATGCCATGACCTTCCCTCTCATGGCTCAATCTTGCCATTGTCTGTTAGTCTCTGAGCCCCATGGATATTGGACTGAAAGCTCTGAAGATGGAGCCAAAGTTTAATGTTTTATCTTCTGAATAATTTTTCTCATATGTGGGTCAGATGAAAAAGATACACAATGGACTGTCTGGTAATATGAGAGAAAACAGATAAAATTTAGTTCCAAAATTAAATTAAGCTAAAAAGATGGAGATTACCTTAGTTTCCAGGCTTGGTGGCATATGTATTTATCCCAGCACTTGGGATCAGAGACAGGCGGATCTTTTTGAGTTCAAGGACAGCCTATTCTACATAGTGAGTTCCAGGCCAGCTGAGACAGAAACTCTATCTCAAAAAGACTAGAGAAAAAAAAAAAAAAAAAGAAAAAGACTAGGAATGTAAATGTCCTAGTAAATGTCCCACATGACTTACAGTTCAATACCTGACTCATCTCTCAGGTTTTGACCATTCTGCATACTTTGGGAAAGTCCTTGACTTTGCATTGAATATTTGAGATAATTATAGGGTTTTTTGGTTTTGTTTTTTGTCTCTTGGAGACAGGGTCTCCTTGTAGCCCAAGTTGATCTGGAACTCACTATGTAGACCAGGCTGGCCTTGAATTCTCAGAAATCCGCCTGCCAGAATTAAAGGCATGCTCCACCAGGCCTGCCTTGTTAGAGATATATATTTTTAAGTTTACCACTAAAATATTGTTACCGTATTTTAGCCCATGTGTCACTTTCGAGTACCTATAGTTCATGATGCAATATAGTCAACATTCTTTTATAACCACTATATGAATCATCTGAATGCATGCAACCAATGTATTTTTTACAATATACTAAATTTTGTTTTCATGTGCTTACCATTCTATGGGTTCAAATTCTTTTCTAGTGAATTAAAAAGTATTTCATACAGTATGTGTTGCTCCTCTCCCCATCTGCACACCATTTACTACCCCTACCCAGTTTCATGTTCTCTCTGTCCCTCCCTCTCTCTCTCTCCATTTACTTATATATGCAGTCATCCACTGGAGCCTGGTCAACCTATGAAGAATCCCATCTATGAAAGAGACGCTTTCTTTCCCTTTGAAGCCTGTGGCGACCAATACTTCCTCAGCAGCATTGATGTTTCTTACCAGCCTCCCCATGTCTGTGCTGGGATTTTGCCTGTCTTGAGCTTATGTGGGGCTTGTGCTTGCTGTCACCAATGCTGTGATTTCATGAGTTACTTCCCAATGATCTGTAAACCTCTATTTCCTTGTGTTACTCCACCATCTGTGACTTAAACCATTTCTGTTTGCTATTCTATAAGAATCCCTGTGGCCTTGGAGGCAGGATTTTGATACAGGTGTCCTACTTGGAGATAGGTACTATGCAGTGTAATTATCTGCACATTATTCAGTTGTGGGTCTTTGTATGATTCACCATGTGCTGCACACAGAAGCTTCACCAGTGACAATTGAGAGACACGTTAATCTGCTGGTATAACAATAAGCCATTTGGGGTCAGGTTAATGCTATATATATTTAGCAGAATAATAGTATTAGGCCCGGTCCTATGAACCCTAAGCTTGATATCTGTGTCAGATATGGGCTCTACCTTATGAAGGAGACCTTAAATGCAATTATAAAGTGATTGTTAGCTCCCAAAATACTCGTGTCACTGTTGCAAATATCTTGCCAGGCCAGTTATTGCTGTAGCTCACAGGATTCACATCTGGTAAAGATGATGATCAGTTTTCTCTGTGGTAGCATACAAAGCACCTTCCAGCACTATGAAGACTAGTTGGTAGAGATGCAGCTTTGAAGTCAGTACCAGCTTGATTTCTACTTTTTTCTTCTATAGCTCATGAGTGCAGTAGCTTCAGCAGTATCATCTTATCATCAACTTCTAGTGGTAAAAGAAGAATAGTATCTAGACTGTACAATGAACTTAAGTTACTAAACATCAAAGAACACATAACCCAATTAATATGGGATAAGGTGCTGGACAAGCAGTTCTCCAAGGATGAAATATAAATGTCTAAGATCTTCTTTAAAAATGTTGTACATCAGTAGTCATAAGGGAAATCTAATTTAAAATCATTTTGAGATTTATTAACCCACTCATCATGGCAACATCCAAAAACCAAAGAACAAGACTTTAATCCCAGAATGGAGAGTGAGAGCTGGACACAAATTCCACCCCTTGGTCAGGAGCTATTGCTAATTGATAGGTGCTGGGAGGGAGTCAGTGTTCTTCAAGTTGTGGCCCCAGGTATGTCACCTTCTCTCCATGGATGGCACCATACTCAAGTGTTTATGTTAAGTTCTGTGCAAATTTTATATTTTGGTTAAAAACAAAGGAAAAACAAAATCAAAGAGCAAAATATTGTGTAGGTTGTGAAGGGATGGATTTGCGATGAGTTCTAGGCATGGAGGGGAATAGTTTGGGTAAAAGTACATTCTTTGCCTGGGCATGGTGGCACACACCTTTGATCCCCGCACTTGGGAGGTAAAGCCAGGAAGATCTCTGTGAGTTCAAGGCCAGCCTGGTCTACATAGTGAGTTCTAGGCCATCTGGAGCTACAGGGAAACCCTTTTTCAAAAAGATTGAAAAAAAATTCTTTGAAATTCTCATAAATCTAAAATGAAAAGTGGGAAAACAAAAATAATTTGCATCACATACCATTATCAGTCTTCCTCTATTTAAATGCTCACACATATAATACAGAAATTCAAGCCTGCAAAAAAAAATATATTTGTGAGATATCAGTAGCCCACATCTAGACTTGGGCTGTCATTCCTTGTAGACATTGAAATGCTGCTTCTGTGTCTTTCTTTTGCATTTAATATTGACAGGTCAAATGTCTTTAGGAATTCATGAATTTCTTCTAGATCCATTTCTTTTAGCTTTTTGAACATGTATCACTTGTTCCTTCATGGTAGTTTCTATTTCATTGAAGTCTCTTTTAACAACTCCTTCTCACCTGTATTTATTAATTTGTTGTTACTAGCACTTTTTTGGTTCCCGTGTCCAGTCTTTGTCAGTTTTTTTTTTTTTTTAATGGATAGAGTGATGAATTTCATGTAATGTTTTATCATCTGTGTTTTTGTTTTTTTTTCTTTTGGTTTTTTCTCCCCATCTAATGCACTGTGTTTAGCTTCTTCATACAGGAGAAAATTGAATTCCATTTCTATATTATTTATTTTGTTTCACACCTGTATTTGAGGTCATGATTTTATCCATAAAATTTTTTCTTCAAAGAAGAAATTGTAGGAATTTGGCAATTCCCATTGTAGTTATAACAATGACCAAAAATTCATTCAAAAGAAAATTTCTCAATAAACAATTATTTCCACAGTCTTTCATTTCTTTTCTAGCTTATTTGTAGTTTTCTTGCACTATACTTAAAAATATATGATCATTTTTTATTTTTTCTGAATCAGCTGAATTCATTTATCTCGCCAGTGACTGCACTCTTAGTGGCAATTTAGAGATCCTGTACTAAGTAGGAGGGGATGGGCACTTTTAAAGCTTAAGTCGAAAGACAAGCAGCCACATGTTTGTTCCTGTAGGTGGGCAAGCTAGCAGTTCTATCCGTTTTTAACACCATTTGTTTTAGATGATGCTGGCTTTGCAACCCATACTGTGATCTTTTCTAGAATAATTTCTATGAAATCTGAAAATTTTTCATTCTTACTTCCTCTAAGTAACAATCTGTGGATATCATTGAAAACCTGTTCATCTGTGAAATAATTCACATCCTGAGGGTTTTTTTGCTCCAAATTTTGGGAAAATATGTATTCTCTTAGCTGGTTGTTTGTTTTCCATAATTAATTCTAGGTTTCTGGATGTCATTGTCAGTAAAGTGTGTTTCTTTGACAGAAGAGATACTTCAATCTGACTTTGAACCCGCTCTTCTTGA